TTATTCGAGGGTGATTTAAATAAGCAGCCATACTTGAGTACAGAGCTGTAAAAGTTTTAAAGTAAGATCAAGCCAAACTAGAGTAATAAAATCTCTCTCTACAGTTAATCTAAGCACATAGATGCTGGAGCGCTTCCTATGGCTCACTCAGATTTGTTTTGTTGTAAACGTTTCCAGCATGTTCTTTTTTTCCTACTTTTTTCCCTCTTTCAGATATAAATTTAGACTTGGGTGAGATTCTTTTTGAATGACCACATGCCCATTTTAAAAGCTGATAGATAAAAGTTTCAAAGCAGATTGAGTTCTGAAAACTGGCCAATTTAAGAATAAAATTGGCCATGATGACAGTCCAAGAATGTTTATAATATTCCTATGATAGTGATATTTGGTCATTCTGGACCATGCCGTTACCAGAGAAAGACCATAGGAAACTATTTTCCTATTTTTCTAAGCAATAAACTTGAAAAAACTGGCTGTCCTGTCCTTTTAGTTTATGAGTCTCTTTGGAGAAAAGGTGTCTGCTAAATTGCACACGCTTAGTTTATGTAAAAGACATTTGGATAATGTAATATTGCGGTTTTTCTTTTTAAACGGAACTCCAATTGTATACTAAAGTCCATGGTGGTACAAGACATTTTACCATGGAAAAAAACATTGGATCTGTCTCAAAATGGACTAACTGGCAGTAAGGCTCTGGCTGAACTCCTAAAAAGCACCACGTAACCTCTAAATATACTGTTATTGATGCACTTAAGTTGTTTTACTATGATTCTGTTCAGTGCGCTCCTGGCTAAAGTAATGTAAAAAGTATCAGCATCATGGACACTTTGACTTTTAAACAGTTTTTTTAGATGAAGGTGTTGGAAAAAGTACAGGATGGATGGTTTAGCTGTTAGCCCTTTCCTCCCCGACAGCCTCGGCATGAACACTGAGGAGCAAAGGGTGACCAGCTGGCCATGGGTTCTTATCAGGGTTTGTGCTTTAAAAGCCTTTGAGGAATGTTGGCAGAATGCCACCCTTATTCTGCTCGCTGCAGACCGTCGGTTTACAAGGACTGTGCTTGGAGGAACATTCTTGTGTTGAAATGCTGATCTAAGATCAGGTTTCCTGGTCCTCAGCACTAGTTGAACTGTACTGATTTTTTTTGTTGTTGCAATGATCCAGACATGGTGTACTTTGTGGTGCTGGCTCTGAAGGTGCAAAATCTGTTGTGCTTGAATTTATAGAGAAAGGAAAAATTGAAATCGCATCATATGACCCCTTTAAAACAGCTAATGAAGACAAAATGTAAACAGGATGTGAAAGAAATAGTTCACTCAAAAAATGAAGGCTCTATAATTTTTAATCATCCTCATGTGGTTCCAAAACCAAATGCTTAATAAAATTTATGAAGGCTGTTTCCATACAAAAACAGTTCATAGTGACCTCCTCCTCCAAAAATTGAGGAAAAAGCGCCATAAAAGGCAATACAACATGTGAATAATGTTCCAGGTCTTTTGAAGTCATACAAAATTTTTTTGTGAAATTTACTTTATTTAGTAACAATCTTCAATAATCCCTTCCAGTGAGTTGTTAACCACCGTGAATGATTGAGTTGAACTAGAGAGTGGAATCAGTTGTGTTCCTGAATGAATTGTTTTGTTCGATTTATGGAAAGGGTTAGTATAGTGAAAAGAACATGCTCAAAAGTGTGATTCATGAACTAATTAGATTGATCCGTTTCTTAAATCCAACTCGTTGATTCGGTTCCAGTGAATTATTGAGTTTGTGAATAACGTCCTAAATGTCTGTCTGTTCCTTACAAAATGACTTGAAGACTTGAAATATATATAACACACAAGTTGATTGACTACATTTAAATACTTTTTATCCTTAACAGACTCACTATCAAAACCTGTGTGAAGATTCTTCAAAAATGTCTCTATTTTTTATGTTCCACAGAAAAAAGTAAACGGCATATGGGTTTGGAATGGCATGAGAGTGAGTAAATAATGGCAGAATTTAGATTTTTGAGCTAACTACTAATTTAAATGCCAGATTTTATCTTGGATTTTCCACACTGAGTTTTGGATTTCACCCAAATACAGTCTTTTGCTTTGAGAAGCGTTGAGAGTACAGTGTACAGAGAAGATTTCTGTCCGGCACTGACCAGGTGATTCTGGTCTTCTGACTGTCACTTTAAATCGAACAACAAGTGATAAAATGCTTTCTAAATATTGAATGTTTTTATAATTGCCACTTTCACACACTCAGGCTGTTCATTATTACTTGAGCTATGTGAAAGCCATTTAACAAATGCAGGTAGTGCAGAATTCGTCGATTTAAGAGGCCGCTCTGCATGAGCATAACTAATTCACATTGCCCTGAAGGGGATTTGCAAGTTGAAGATCATTTTGCAATATTAAACATGGCTCTTATTAGATCAATTTCTCTTTTTTGTAATTCATATTACTCTCTTGTGATACAGGCAGCTGGAGTACTGCATTTCCTCTGTGTCTGCAGACTGTCTTTATGCAAAGCAAACTGGGCCGAGAGACAGATAGAGAATAAGGTGCATGGAGCGAAAGAGAGAATGACATGGAGGGAGATAAAGAGAGACAGACGGACTGACCAAGAGAATAAGGAAATGCAGCGGAGACAGGCGGTGAGACGGGAGATTTGTGAAGACTCGGGTGCTGTCAGTAAGGAGCTGGCTTGAGCTAGTGTCTCATTCTCACACGGCAGATTGGAAGAGCAGATTGCGCTCTGAGATGCCCTGAGATTTGGGCAGCTTCCGATGGGGGATTTGTAGAGATTTGGTTAGAAATCTGCCCATAATGAATGTTAAGTGAAAAGCGCCTTCATCATCTTCTCAGCAAAGACATTGTTTTCTCTGAGCGCTTGTTCTGTTAGTTTTGGCTTGGTGTCTTAAGTGTCACAGTCCTGAGATGACAGTCTATAGCTCCATTAACTGGTATGTGCAGACCACACAAACAGACGTTTTATGAATGAAAACGCCTCATTTGTTTGTCTGTGGAGACAATAGATGAGAAGATGTTCTTCAGACGCAACAGACTTTGCTGTTTTTTTTTTGGTGTTTTCTATGGCTGTCATGTTTTTTTTAAACATTTTGGCCACTTTGTGTCCCAAGGTATTGGTGTTTTTGTTTGTTTGTTCATTTATTAATAACATTGCTAATTTCAGATAACTAAAGATTTTTTTTCACATTCTTCCCAGACCCAGACTTTCAATCATGAAAATTATGATAATCCATTATAATTTCACTATTATTATTAGTAGTAGTAGTAGTACTATTTTAAAATAAGTCAATGGCTATAAATAATCCCCCTGTCTGTCTATGATTAAATTTTTTATTTTATGTTTTAATAAATTAAATATTTTTTATTCAGCAAGGAAGCATGGAATTGATCAAAAGTGATGGAAATTTAAGAACAGTAAATAACATTTATGTTACAAAAAACAATCCTATTTCCAATAAATGCTGTTCTTTTGGACTTTTTATTCATTAAAGAATCCTTAAAGTTTCATGGTTTTAGCAAAAATATTAAGCAGCACAACCTTTTTACCATTGATCATAGGGCTGCACAATTAATCGCGATTACAATTATGGATGCCACAATTATGTAATTGTTCAAAGCGGCAATTAATCGTTCAAAGTCCACTTATGTTATTCTGCGTGCTTAAGATGCGTTGTTTTCTTTCTACATCTTATCTTAAGGGTTTTTCCCATTATTTTAATTTTAGTTTTAGCATAACATTATAATACCATTCATATTTTTACTATTTTATAATTTAAAGAAGAAACCAATCCAATGTATATTTGACATTTGAGGCTTAATACTGTAGAAAAGCACTAAAAGTTTTTCAGTTAGTGTTTTCAGCTTGTTTATTTTCATATAA